TGGAGACCACCTGAAGGTTGGATCGCCAACGCCCCACGTATACGAGGCGAAAGCGGTATGTGATCCCCTTGCTCTGCCATGTTGGAGACGAATAGCAAGTGGTTGATACTGATGTTGCATAGAATGAACTTCCACCCCGGCCATCCAAGACATCTCCCTACCTTCTCGCCCTCGAGATCACTCTGGGTGTTCTGTGCTGTGGCTGCCTCGTCGCCGTAATCCGGCACAAGTGTAGCAGCTTGAGAACAAGGACTGAGCGCGCCGCCGCTCGAGAAGAACGCCTCAACGCTCGCGCTTATCGCCGGGCAGCTCGACAACACGCATGGCGCAGCTGGTGGCGCGGCAACTGGGCTCGACGAGACAACCAGCGTATCGCGGACTACGAGGAGAAACGCGCACTGATCTCAGAACAGGAGAGTGTGCTGGAGGACGCGATGCAGGAAGAAATTAGGCAGTTGAGGGCCGCGCATGACGTGGTGAATGATCTCGTAAGAGATGCTGAAGAAGGACGGGCCATCAATCGCACACCCTGCGATTGTCAACGCCAACAGTCGCGGGCACCATACTCGCCCCTCTCCACAGCATCGACCTACCCACCTACCTCATTGCCCGAGATTCCCTCTAGGCCGCTTTCCCGAACAGAGAGCCTACCAAGCTATCGCTCAGGCACGCCCACAGAGCCCCCGAGTTATGATTCGGATCTCGAGGCGTCAGACGTCGTAGCCAACGGCTTCAGGCACTACGCGACTGCGTCTACCACGTCCGAACGAAGCTCGCATTGGACACCCGACAGCAGTGTCGTCGATGTAAGCCCCAGGCCGAGCGCGGAAACACTCAGGTACCCAGTGAGCATATTGACCCTTGACGAAGAGTCGGACGCTGATTGAGGACGTAAATCCTCATAAACGCAAATGCACACTAACCCGTCTTTGGCAATTCATACCCGGTACCTACCAAATGGAAGTTTTGATCCTATCGGCAGACATATTTCCTCGGTCTACACAGGAGATTGCACTTGCTGCACACTCATGCCCGCATCACGAGTAGATGCAGCAAGCAGCTCTCGGTGTTTCTCCCGATTTCCCTGCTTTGGCATTTTTCCACGCAACTTAAGCGCTTTGTCGGTTTGGCGTAAGGATTGGCCTACAGCAAGCATAGTTTTTGGTAACATTACCAGCTTCGTTTGGAGCGATGTCGACGCAAAGTTTTTGTCGCAATCAACGGGTGGTCAGAGGACATCACCCACTAATATCTTTACGTCCTCATGTATAATACTAGGCCTATAGGCTCAGGGGGATATATACAATCAGGGAGCGTTTTTCACGGTCAAAGTAGCTGCTACATGCGTAAGATTTGCATGACTAGCAAACTCAGTAATATCAAACCATTGCAACAAACACAATCTTCATGCTTGATATCGCAATATAAAAAATGGCGGTTATGTTATACAATTGTAATTCAGCTCCGCTCTGAGCGGCCCATCTACATAATGTACAAGTACGTTCCCCACAATCGCCCGCTTTACCGGTTCCGCAGGTACCAGTTGAATGCCAACTGACCTGTCTCAATGTGGAACGGCGTCGGTACCTCAGCCAAACCCGGTCTGGCGACCGGGTGTCTCAGGTACACGGCAGCGCAGATGTTCTGGTTGACCTCGAGATACCGCGGGATAAAGGCAAACGCGCTCATGTAGTCCCTAGGCCGCCATGGCGTCGCGTAAGGCGCTTGAGCATCCCGCCTGTTCCACGCTGATGTGTGTTCAGTTTCTAGTCTGAGTTTCTCGAAGGCGGAGCGAAGACGCGCTTGGTCTTCTTCTGAGATGAGGGGTTCAGCGACAGACGCGTCTTTGGGAGAAGACGATGTAAGGGCAGCGGAGCGCTCGGCGATTTGGTGTTTGAGGAACTCGAATTGTGTGTCGAGTGTGGAGATGGTCTCTGGGTTTGCGGTGCGCCATAGACTTATTGCTTTCTTAACGCTCTGGCGGAAAGCTCGGAACTTTTGCTTGTCTTTGGCTTTAACGTCTTCGGCGAGGACACCGTCAACTTGCTCCATCAAGTCTTGTAGCTGCTTCTTCAGTTCGGTGGGTGTGGGTTCCTCGCGTGTGGACGAGGAGATGACGATGTCGTCATCTTTCTGTTGCTTAGGCGTCTGTCCACCACTTTGCTCGCGGGCTTCGGCACGGGCGGCGGCCTTCTCTTTAGCGATACGACGTGCAGTCGATGAGCGTTCTTTTGGGGCACCAGTTGCGAACATGACGGAGGAGGGCTCGACTTGGAACATATCGCCTGGGTTGAGTGCATAACCAGGGTAGACCATCTGCATGCGAGTTAGCTGCGAGGACTTTCAGCATACGGGAACTGACAAACCTTCTTGCCATTGACCTTGACTAAGCCGTGGACAACGAATTGCCTGGCCTGTCGGACACTGCTTGCGAACAGCGCCCGGAAGATGGCTGTGTCCAATCTCCTCTCCAATGGGTAGTATGCCATCTGCATGTATGGTGTCATTGGTGGTGTCCTTGCCTTGTCCGGCGAATCCGCACCCATTCCTCGTCCAGCCGCCTGTTCTGAACCATCGTGGCGGGCAAGATATCTATGGTCCATGGCCACTACCGCTGGCAGATTCCGCTTGAACATGTGCTTCCATTTCTTCTCTCGTATGTGCTCGCCATGGTATGCTCTTGTAGATGCCTTGGCCGTCCATTTCTGCTGGAAATACGTTCGACTGACGACGTTCGGAGCCTTAAGTTGTGATAGAGCGTACAATGACCATCGTGACCAGTTCTGGCGGACGTTCTGCAGCCTGTCAGCTCGCCACTCTATCCGGCTTCAACAACAGCAACCATACCAGCTTCTTCAGCGAATGGAACCTCGGCTTCTTCCTCGGCATGGTGAAGGCAGATCAAGAATAGGTGATATTGTTACAATAGCGGCCCACGCGGCGAGCGTAAATCTGGGTAGTGGTCCGTGCCCGGCTGCATCGAAAATTCCCCACTAAGAACCATAGCTATCTCTCACCTGGCGCCTTTTTCTCTCCAACAACCTCCAACCTCTTTGTCGCAAACTTCAAACTGCCCTTCGCAGCTTCTAATCACATACGCGACTCAAGCTGCACACATATTAACCATGGCAGACCAACAGACTACTGCTGCGCCAGCCGCAAATCCCGCTGAAGTCTCCAAGACTGAGAGCACGGCCAACGTCCAGTCTGAGTCCAAGATTGAAGCCTCCGACTCCAAGCCTGAGGACAAGGCCAACAAGACCGAAAACGGTGAGGAGAAGTGGGAAGTCAATGGCAAGTCCGAGGACAAAAGCGGCCGTCGCAACGACCGTCGCGACGGTGGCCGTGGAGGGCGAGGTGGTCGCGGTGGTCGAGGCAACTTCCGCGACAACCGCAACAAGAGGTGCGCCCAGTTGTATGGGTCTGCGTCTTTTAGTGTTAATCTTTGCGCAGGCAGAACAACCAAGAATTTGACGATCTTCCCGAGTCCGACGACCCCAACGAGATCCGCGCCCAAGTATGACTCCCGATTCCCACTCCATGGTACGCCTTACTAATACTTCCAAGGTCGAGTTTTACTTCTCTGCACAGAACTTGGCAACCGACGAGCACATGTTCAAGGTGCTCGAAGGTCCCAAGAACACCCCTGTTTCTATCCACCACATCTGCACCTTCAAGCGCATGCGCCACTTCAAGCCTTACTCCGCTGTTGTAAAGGCACTCCGCGAGAGCAACGATCTCGACGTCGTTGATGATGGCGAGTACAGCAAGGCTGGTAGCGAAGCCGTCAAGCGCAAGGAGCCGCTTTCCGTCCCCACCAAGGAAGGTGACGAGAAGAACCCACCTACCACAGAGGAGCTCTTTTACCGCTTGAAGAACAACTCATCCAACAACATGGAGCGCAGCGCCTACGTCAAGGGCTTCGGTAGCGAAGACCAAGCCGGCCAGATTGCGCTCGAGAAATTTTTCCGTCCTTACGGCGCAGTCATGGTCCGCAAGCGTCGCGAGAATGACGGTGCCTGGAAGGGCAGTGTCTTTGTTGAGTTCGACTCTGAAGACTCCCAGAAGCAGTTTCTTGAGCTTGACCCTACACCCAAGTTCAACGACAACGAGCTTGTCACCATGGGCAAGAAGGAGTACATTGTCATGAAGTGCCAAGAGAAGGGCATCAAGCCCGACTGGGAGCTGACCGAGGAAGAGAAGTACCAGCAGCGCAAGGCACAACGCGAGGCCAATGGCGACTTCAGCCGCAGCGGTCGTGGAGGAGGTCGTGGAGGTCGTGGACAGGGTCGCGGTGGACGCGGTGGACGTGGTGGCAATGACCGTCGCGACAACCGCCGTGACCGCAACCGATCCCGCTCTCCCCGTAGGCGCCGCGATCGCAGCGCTTCAAACGGCTCCGTCGACGCTGACGATTGGAACAAGCGTCGCGACCGCTTCAAGGATGGCAAGGACGACCGCGCCAGCCACAAGGAGGACAAGAAGGAGATTGAGCGCGACGCTCACGGTGTTCCCATCGTCAAGGACACCTCCAACAAGCGCAAGGCCGATGATGGCGAGCCCCAGGGCAGCCCCAAGAAGAGCAAGCTTGAGATCAAGCAGGACGAGTAGAGAGGATTTCTCGACTCAATTCCTGTGCATTCACAACATCTATTTCACTCTATGGAGATGAATTGAAGTATGTCGATGGGATATTTTTGCATTTGGCGGCGTTGAAGGACTTTTATATTTCTACGGTCATCGCTATGATACCTACTGGGTTTGGGCAAAAGTTTCTTTCTCTATCTCATGGATGAACCAGTCCAACTGTATATGGTATTCGTAGATACAGTGTCTTCACTGTGCAGACATGTAGTTGACGACGCATGAGTTCGGTAAGATGAACGAAGAGAAACATCATCACATCGGGTTTCTGTATATTGTTTCTTATGCCTAGTGATGTAATATCGTGTGATTTATCTCACTTGACCCCATCCCTCTCAGTCCCACACATTAAACCTTCAACCCAAGGTCATAATCTTCTTTCCCCCGTTCGGCAACTTAACCCTCAACACTGCTCCTGGAAAGGTCCTCCCATCGACACCCTCATTCCAATTTGGCTGATACGGCAATTGGTTGATGTTCATGTAAAGGTAGCCGTCTTCACCAATCGACGCTCCATCCGGCCAGATGATACGTGGATCTCTCACAAAAGGCTCTGTACGTAGCGTTTCCGGGTCATAAACATAAATTGCGTTGTGCTCAGGCATGCACTGATAGACCAAACCGTTGTTATCGCCTTCGAAGCCATTTGCGTTTCCGCCCCGCTGACCAAGATTCGTAACGTTGTTCGCGGCCATGATTTCTGCAAGGGGATCCGAAGAAGGTGTGAGGAGGTTTGCGGCGGGGACAGAGTACAGATAGTTTGATGTCAGGGGGCTGTAGTAGATCGTCGAGCCATCGGCACTGATCTGAATTCCGTCAAGTCCCTCTCGTAGCGTTTGGATAGGCTGACCGATTGTACGTTGGTAAAACGGGTTGCCTTGGTAAGAAGGTACGTCGCGATCTACGCGCAGTGTAGATGGGTGTTGTGTGAGTCTTCTCCAACTTTTGCCAGTACCTAGATCTAGGATGATGAACCCGGGTCGTCCTTCGTCACTGCTGTCGACAATGTAAGCAACGCCTGATCTGGACGCCGTGGTGTTTGGACGCAAGTCAAAGCGGATGTCGTTCATGTAGGAGTCCGGGAAGTGGACGCTAGGTGGGAAGGTGTAAGTCGCGTAAACGCTGTCGTTTGCCAAATTGATACCGAGGATCTTGGGTCCGCCGGGTTGCGCATATGGCATCGATGGTGCGCCGGTTGCGTCCATAATGGTGGGTCGTCCTAAAAGTTACATTTACGGAGTCAGTGTATATCTCACATATAGTTGGTACAGAAACATTTCTTACCTGTGTCTACTACCCAGAGTGTCTCAGGTCTTCTATCATTTTCTGGAGTGATGTACAAGGCTTGTACGCTGATCAGCCCTGTGCTGTTCCCACTACCAAAAGGGATGCCATTCCAGCTCGTGTTCAGCTGTGAAACAGGAAGATTGAGGCCCGCGGATGGATATGGTACTTCGGCAGTTTTGTTGACGACTTCGCCGAGTGTATAGGCGTAGCTGCCGCGTGTGTAGGTTGCAAAGAAACGGCCGGCGGATGAAATGGCGAGACCTATAGGCCATTGCGAGTAGTAGTAGTGGTACTCTTCTATCTCCGGGCCGTATGACCCTGTATCGACTCGCAGAATTGAACCGCTGCTGTTTTGAAAAGTGACTTGCGCAGCGGCACTTCCTGTCAAGGCAACGACTGAGAGGATTGAGGATCGCATCTCCCACGTGATATTCTCTTAGTACTGTAATCCGGTGGCTTTCTTCACCAGTGGACATGGGACAAGCTTCGTATATAAACAAGCATTTACAGCTTCTCCCGCTTCTGCATCGTGATGTCAGCCATTAACGAACGTCATACCTTACACACTCCTTACGTGGATGCCGGGTGGTACATGCTACCAGCAACGGCAATTAGGTTCCATGACGTTGAGCATTTTCGGGTTTAAGCTTTCCCCGGTCGTACCTGCATGAAGCGGCTCTGCCGATCGTGGTGATCACGCAGATAAATGATTAGATGATCGCCAGAGCTGTGGGTCGGAAAGACAAGTTGTAAAATATGCTGTTTGCTTTGATTCTCTTGCTCTAATGTAAAACTGCGGAAGAAATTTGAGAAGATGATGCGGTTTTTGATATCGTGCTACTGTACAACACAACCAAAATTCGCGCCTACCAACGCCCTTTGAAGAAAGCTTAACCTCGGCGGCAATGCTTTAGAGCCAGAAAGAGAATAGAGAGGTGCTAAGCCAACAAGTAACCATGGCTTGCAGAGTCAGACCCAAAAGAACAGAATATGAATCAACAGGTGTCGAGTTATCGAACCTTGGGAAGAAACTACAGGAGCACAGAGTGAAGAGTCACTCTACCGTCCACTTTTGCTGACCCTCCTCTGGCTAGGGCTGCCCACAAAGCTGCCTCGTGGACTCCGGCTAATTGCCGGCATGAGGGGTTGTTTCTCCATACCCAGCTTCCTCTCAAAGATGCGTCCGACAAGCGCTTGCACGCTTCTTTGTACATCGGGTGCCATTTCCGTACCTAGAAGCCCAACGACGAGCGGCGCAAAGAGGTCAATGTTCTTTTCGAAATCATTGTCGGGCAACCCAGTGTATCCGTCCAGCACGGTGACGACAACGGGGCGCCAAGTGACGATGTTGCGTTGTTGTGTTTCCTCGTCAAGATCGACATAGGAGGCAATGATGTCCTCGCAGAGCGGGATCAGGGCGGCTTCGGTATCGGCGCGTGAGGCGGCGCGGTCGTTGGATGTGTCGTGGTACATTCTAAATAGAATGCTAACGTACACCGACGCCGATCCGCTCTCCTGCTTGAGCAGGTTTGGCGGTTGCTTCATGAAACCTTCCCTAAACAAACGTGATCGCAGATCGCGATTCGCATTGAAGCGCTTAGCGAAGTGGTACGACTTCTTCAACACGGCCATAAGGCGGAGGAGTTCACCAGAAGGTATCTTCTCGTAGACAGCCTCATTTGTGAAGAGCTCTTGTACCGTCTCGATCATGAGAAGTTGTAGGACGCATTTCGTGATGATCTGGTTGAAGAAGCGACGGCGAGCGGCGGTGACAACCACGGGTGGTTGCTGGAGGGTCTGATCGTCGGGACGGTAGTCTTCCAATTCCTGAGTCTGGCGCTTGGGCAGCGGCGATGGCATACGCTGCTCAACGCCGCCACTGATGCTCGCAGAGTCTGAGGTCACTAGGGATGGTCGTCTTGCGCCAGATAGGCCATTAATTCCAAGCGCGTTGTCCATTTTCGGTTCTTCAGCAGGTGTTTGGAGCGAGAGTTCGCCAGGTGGCCCGTCACTAGTGGGAGTTGTCAAATCTGACGTCTTACCAGTGCCGTTTGTCGAATTCGTCTGTGCAGATGAACCGCCGGTCGCAGCAGAGAACAGTGCTGTTGCTTCAGTTCTTTGAAAAAGGTCGACAAACGCCTTGACGATCTGACTCCAATGATCAGCCTGGAATTTCTGAACATTTTGCAAAATCAACTGTTGCAAACAGTTGCTGCCGATGCGCGCTAGGGTGTCGTTCTCTTGACATATACACAGGGCAAGGAGATCCAGGAACCGATCGAGCATGTACTCCAGCGAATCGAAAAAGTGGGTAAAAAGTTTGATCATGTTGCGGAGAGCTTGGATCATAGTGGTCGAGAGCCATACTGAAAGCTCCTCATGATTCAGAACCTTTGTCATCTCTGACTTTGACTTCAGCACCATGAAGATGGGGTACAAAAGCTGTCGCCAAAGCATGTCCCAGAAATCCCGTGGAAAGTCGCCACCATAGCTGATTAAAGTATCAAACAGGTATTGCAACGCCCTTGATCGGACCTCTAAATCCTCACCAGTCATCAAGACGTCGTGGAAGGCGAAGAGAACTGGGAACCAGAACTGCTCTTCCTGCGTTTGTCGGCTGGGTTGCTTGGGTATCGAAGAGCCCTTTTCTGAATCTTTCAAGTACCCAGCACGGGCGGATAGAGAGCACTCGGGTGTCCGTAACATCTTGGGCACGGACGACTTGAGCAGTTCTATTGCTTGTAGCGATTTCTTCTGGAACTTGAAGTTCTTCGAGAATTCCGTGAGACAAACAATGAAGTCTGCGAACGCGCCCTGCGAAATGACTACACCAAAGCGCGTATTGTATACTTGAGTGACGTTCTCGAATGCAAGGTTGACGATACCCTCTGCTATGTATCAACAGCTGTACAGACTGGAACGGAGGAATAACATACCATACGGTTCCCTGGCGGCCACAGTGAAGACCCCGAACATTGTCTTCCAGCCAGATCGAATGTTCTCACCTCGCGCTTGTATCATCTGGATCAAGCAACGTAGTACCATATCCTTGACTGAGACGACATTTGTGTTGTTAATGATGTGCTCGAAGGGTTTGAGGAAATCCTTCTGGAACTTGAAACCGGGCAGTTCTTCAATTTCCATAAACTTCATCGAAAGTTGCCTTAGTGAGTTGAGAGCAAAGTAGACGACATTAGTGTTGGTGTGGCATCCGACCTCGTTGAAGTGAGCGCCAAGCACCTGCCAGATGTTGGTCCACTCAAAACGAACACGCGTCATGTTGTAACCACTGATCTCCACAAGTTTCTGCAGACTGTAAGTGCGAGGTGATTCGCTTTGCCCAGACGACTGGATCTCTTGCCAGCTGACTTGAACAAGCGCTTTCACAAAGTCTACGATAGCTTCACCAGACAGGTTCGCACTATTGGTAAAGATGCGGTCCACACCTCGGACGATGTCGGTGGACCGACTCTCCTCGGCTACTTCGGAATGAAAGCTCATGGTGCTCGCTTGTGATTTAGGTCTTTGACGATTGGCTGGAACGTTGAGATTTTTACGCGACTGTGCCGTGCCTGAATTCGATTTGAGCACGTCGGGCACGGCACGTTCATCGATACCAGAAGAGATGAGTTGGAAACGGTCCAACTGTGAAACACATGTGAGGACCTCACGCCAGGATTCTCGTAGAAGGTTACCCTCTGTCTGGGCAATTTCGATCAGGGCTTTCAACGCTTCCATGTTCCTGGCTTTCATCTCGCTCACGTTGTAGAGGTTGGTGAAGCGCGAGAGGAAAGCCACGAAAGCCTGTCGTGAGCTATCGAGGTCGAACAAGCATGATATCCGGATTGCTAGCTTGATGCCTTCGATACACAGGCGAACGATCTCAATGTTGTGGTCTTGGGCTTGGCCAGAGAGCGCAGTCAGGATTGGCATCCAGCTGACTTCGAACATAGGTCCGACATGCTTGGAAGATGACGCAGGTATGAATTTGGAGACTGGAAGAGCCGCAGCTGTTCTTCGCTGAGCCCGAAGGAGCTGCTTGTAAAGTTGCTCGGTCTTGTTAGCCATTGCTTCGGAGGCTTGCACAATCGCCTCTCGCTGTAGGTCGCGGGCACCACCCGTCAGAACTTGTCCAATGCTAGACAATCCTCCCGCAGGTTGTTGGTTTAACAACCCCTTGTCTGCAGCAGCCTCTTGCTCAGTGTTCAGTACGATTTCATTTTGGGAGATCTCATCGTAGATAGCCTGCAGGTACTCATCCGGCAGATCAGCTGAGTCGTTGATACCACGATTGTTCTTGATGAACTCCTGTGGTGTCATACGAGGGCCCTTCATCTTCCTGCTATGTTGATCGACGTTCAACATGATGACGGAATATGCAAGAACGTATGCAGTATCGGCATTAGCAAACGCGTTGGGGTTACCGGTGATGTACCGTTCAGCAAATTTGAGCATGAAGCGATCGATCTTTTGACCTTCACCAGGTAAGCGAAAGCTTTGAAGGAAGCGCCGCAGGGCGTCTGTAAAGCGGGTTTTAGTGAAGTCCATCCAGTCCACAAAAGCATGCATAATCGCAATGTTCTCGGGATCACCCTCTCCAAGAAACTCTCCCAGTGCTGTTTTGTCGACCTGGTCATTGTCGAGGAAGAAGCGAGCGATGTCCTCGGGCTTGTTCGAAGGGATGAAACCCTCCGCAATCAACGCCTTTAACCCACGCTTCGGCTTGTAGTTGAACTGCCGCAACGCGTTTGTGAGCGCGGTCTTTCTCTGTTTTGCCTTCTCAAGTTGGCTGTAGTCATCCTCAGCAAGCGGTGTGACAGTCCCGGAGTCTGCTCCCACCATTGGAGACTCTGCGGCGAACCTTGTGTCTGTCGATACTCGGAGGTCGTCGAGTGATGGTCGCATATCGGGGTTATTTTGCTTGGTGTTCTCAGGCAGGGCTTGCTGAGCCCAGTTGACGAGAGATCGGAGGATCTCGACCAGGGCTTCCAGAGACTCCTGTTTCATGGCGTACTCCTGCGGATAGCCATGCTCTGTGTCGTGCGACGAATTCATAGATACAGTCGTGAGTGATGGCGGTAATGTACCCCGGCTCTGCCAGTCCATCTGTCTCGATTGCTTCTCTCGCTGATCTTGATACGCTTGCTGCTGCACGGCTGTGATGGTGACAGGGTTGCTGGATATCTTGGACAGGTGTTCAACGACGCGTTGGAACATGTTGTCAAGTGCGGTGCGGTCGCAATCATAGTTGAGATAGATCTCTACCAGTGCCCGGGGGTCTGCAGCAAGCCTTCCGAATATTGTCAAAATGTATTGCTTCTGAAATGCAGGAGCACTTCGCTTGTCTAAAGTTGCAAGGTATATCTCCTTTAAGAATACCTCGACTTCCTTCTTGAGTGATATGCGCAGGTATTTGAGCATCTGCCAGAAGATCTCACAAGCGACTTCGAAGACCTGCTTCACGGAGCTTGCGCCGTTCCGACTCAAGCTCAGGCAGAGGTACTGCTTGACCGCCTGTATGAAACTGGTTGGTTCGTCGCTCCCGCTGCGAATGGTGGCATACGGTGACACGAAGACAGCAATGTTATTGAAGAGTATGGTGTGGATCATATGCAGAGAGAGAAGTTTGGAACGCATGCCTTGCGAGCGCACATCATGGGCATGGTCTACTGTCAGACCCTTGGTGCTCAGACGGCACATGGCTCTGAACACAAGGTACGCATCTTTGACGAATATCTCATCCTCTTCTTCCTCTTCGGTGTTGACATGAGGCGAGCTCTCTTGTCCGGACGCATGTCGCGATCCAGCCTTTCCTTTTATGCGAGTCACCAGCGTCGGTGCATTATCGTGTATACGGTCGTCGTTGAAGCTCATGTTGTTTTCGAAGCTCTGTAGTGTAATTTTAGGACCCGTATGTCGGTCGACGGCCTTGTCGCTGGGTTCGGCAGCTTCAGCGTCGTGCTCGTCCTCTCCGTCTTCACCATTGGCTTCAGAGCCATTAGTGTCTTCTGTGCTGCCTTCATCTTGCTGTACGCTCTCCTCCGACTGGCCCTTTTCATTCAAGGATGACCGGGACAGGTTCAATCGAGCCTCTTTGACAGCCAGTCTCGTCTTGACCCTCTCAAAGACTGTGCCAACCATCTGAGTCAATGCGCCCTGTGCAACCTGCTGGTTCGCGCTCGATTTAGACAGGAGAAAGATGTTGTACGTGAGTCGCACAGCCTTTAGTAGTCCCGCTCCGTGCACAACGATCTTGTCGTTCAAGATGGCTGCCAGCAGCGACTTGACAATCTGCAGTTGCACTTCTGGCGCGGTAGCCTCTCCTTGGAAGCAATCGCATATCGTGTCTATGGCTCGTTCGATCAGAGGAGGCACCTCCTCGCTGTTGTCGGCGCGTGGTTCGACCGGCACGGAGAAGTACGAGTAGCTGATGAGCTTGCCGATGCAATCGAGCGCTGTGATGGACACGGGGACGTTGGGAGCCTCGGAGGCGAGTTGGAGCGGTTCGAAGAGCACCTCGGGGTTGATGCGTGCCGGGTCGCCCTCATTCTTGATTGCAGACAGGGCGGCATTGGTGCTATCCCCAAGCTTCTTGTTCTTCCTGGCATCTTTTGAAGCTGCGATTGTCTCGAGCGCAGTGACGACGAAGACGAGGGAGCTTCTCGTGGATGGTCGCGTGGCGGTGGTGGCTACGGTGGACTGTGAGTCGGTTCGCGGTCGATTCTCCAGAGGCAGACGATGGTCGAAGATCTGCTCGGATGACCGCGGCGCATCTCCGCCATCGGGCACGTTTAGTGATGGCGCTTCGGTCGCGGGCGCAGGTGCAGGTGTCGAGGTATCCGCCTCTTCCTGTGGAGCTTCGGGCGCTGGGGACGACGTATCCTCTCCATGCTCTGATGCTGATGCCTGCTCCGACTCGGAATCCGAGTCGCTGTCCTCTTCTCCTCCTGTGTTGTATGGATGTGTTTCTCGCTCTTCTTCTTCTTGTTCCTCCATGCTCCTGGGCTTGTCCACCTGGTCTGTCTGCGTTGGCTGGGCGTCGGTATCGGCCATGGTCGTTCACGTCCGGGAGATTCGTAATAGTACCCTGTCCTCAGCAACCATGGCGGAAGGAGCGACGCAAGGTGGCAATGCAAGGCAGGGGCGACTCGTACGGGCGCAATGCAGTACAGAGACGGGAAGCGAATTGGCAAAGCCGCGTATGGTGCAGCACGAATCCCAGGGTTGCTATGTGAGATGACACTTTGTGACTTTCCTTGCTAGTTACGTACCCCGACGACCAGTCCACTGGTAGCGCGGGACGCTAGGGGGCGCCACACATGGGTGGCAGTGGCAGCCACAGCGCCCGAGCCACAGCTCACAGGGCCTTCCGGGAAATGTCGCATCCAGCATAGACCCTCATCGGGAGAGAACGCTAGTCGCCGGGTCTCCAACCAACTGCACTAAACTTTTCGTTGAACTGCCTTCCATCTCCTCCAGCCCCGACCAGCGCCCGAGCATACAGCTGTAGCTTGTCGCTCTCGCCCGACGAGTCTCTTCCCACCCACCCACGCCTATTTCGGTCGTCTCGAGTAAATCTCAGCGCACCGGCATCCCGACACAATGCCTGCCACCACGACTCTGCTGTCCAGGGCGGGAAGCCAATTGAGCTCCAGAGGGTCAATTGCGCTACGCGGCGCCCTCCCTACCTCGAGATGCTCTGCGTAAGTCTCCTGCAGCCGTGTCTGCCCTCCCGCCAACGCCCTCGCAAGACCACAGCTGACACACCTGTAAACAGACGCACACCAGCCCTGGCCGCGCTTGCACGATACTATGCCTCCAAATGTGAGCACTCTCACCGTCTGCCCCTCGGTCAAAAACTCCGGTGGTGATCGCGTTGCTAACGCCTCTTGTTCGCAGCCTACCCCTCGCACAGCGTTATCAGCATGCCCGCCCTCTCCCCAACCATGACCTCCGGCAACATTGGCGCATGGCAGAAGAAGGTCGGCGACTCAATAGCGCCCGGTGATGTGCTCGTCGAAATCGAGACGGACAAGGCACAGATGGACTTTGAGTTCCAGGAAGAGGGCACCATCGCCAAGATTCTCCGCGACGCTGGCGAAAAGGACGTCGCTGTTGGAAGCGTAAGTTCAGGCTCCGACTGTCACAGGCACGCATTGCTAACCTTCACAGCCCATCGCTGTCATGGTCGACGAGGGCGAGGACGTTTCCGCCTTCGAGTCTTTCTCCATCGAGGACGCCGGCGGTGACAAGAAGGCCGACACTCCCTCCAAGCAGGGCAACGCTGCCGAGGCCAGCGAGCCCCCGAACACTGGCTCCAAGACCGCTCCTCCTGCCCAGACCGAGTCCGCGCCTGCTGCTATCGAGTCTGAATCCACCGGTGACCGTCTGGAGACCGCTCTCCAGCGCCAGCCCAGCGTTTCCCCTGCCGCGAAGAAGCTCGCGCTCGAGAAGGGCGTCCCGATCGGTTCCATCAAGGGCACTGGAAAGGGTGGCATGGTCACCAAGGAGGACATTGAGAAATTCAAGCCTGCTGCAGGTGCTGCCCCCGCTGCTGGCGCCTCCGCAGCTGCCTACGAGGACACTGAGGCTACAAGCATGCGCAAGGTCATCGCCAGCCGTCTCACCGAGAGCATGCAGCAGAACCCCCACTACTTCGTCGCCTCCAACATCTCCGTCTCCAAGCTTCTCAAGCTCCGCGAGGCTCTCAACGCTTCCGCTGACGGCAAGTACAAGCTCTCAGTCAACGACTTGCTTGTCAAGGCTCTCGCTGTTGCCGCTCGCAAGGTTCCTGCTGCCAACTCGTCATGGCGCGAGGAGAACGGCAAGGTCATCATCCGCCAGCACAACGTTGTCGATGTCTCCGTCGCTGTTTCCACCCCCGTTGGTCTCATGACTCCTATCGTCAAGAACGTCAACGGGCTCGGTCTCCAGTCCATCTCCTCCCAGATCAAGGACCTTGGCAAGCGCGCACGCGATGGTAAGCTCAAGCCTGAGGAATACCAGGGCGGAACCATCACCATCTCCAACATGGGCATGAACCCCGCCGTTGAGCGATTCACCGCCGTCATCAACCCCCCACAAGCTTGCATCGTCGCAATCGGCACAACAAGGAAGGTTGCAGTACCAGGCGAGGCTGAGGATGGCACAGCAAGCGTTGAATGGGACGACCAGATTGTCATCACCGGCAGCTTCGACCACAAGGTCGTCGACGGTGCTGTCGGTGGCGAGTTCATGCGTGAGCTCAAGAAGGCCATTGAGAGCCCTCTCGAGCTTATGCTGTAATCTGATTCTATTTTCGGTGCATTTGGGATGAATGTGTAACTTTACTATTGGGCTAGATGAGATTGGATCTCAGGGACAGACGATCTTATGTACAGCGGATGGCGCACTTCTTCTATCCCCCATGATCACATGTCCAATTGTCGTATTGCATGATAATTCCTTGTATGAAAAGATATATCCCAACTTCTTCAAAACGATTTCTACCTTTACACCTTCTGTGTGGTCGCGATGCCTTTGGGCTAACGGTAGATCTAGACCAGGGTCTTCGCTTGAAAGTTCTACGCAGGACCGGGACGGCGGGTACGCTATATAGCCGGCATGTATGTGCAGGACAGTAGATGAAAACTATAAGTCAGGCTTAGCACCCCCGACAACCACATACAGCCCCACAAATGAGGCGTTCGAAGGGCAGGTGGGGATAGATGGTCGTTGTACAACGAAAGAGAAGATGTTGTCCTGAGTATGGCTCTGGTGTGGTGCTTTCCCATAGAATCCCCTCGCAGCTTCCTCTGTATCTTGAGACTTCAAACCGCACTCACGAATTGCTGAAGATGCTCTACTTTACCCTCTTCTCTCTTCTGTTCTTAGCGACGACTACCGCTCTTAACTTCGACTGGGAGCGCGAACAACTCACTGGCGAGGACGCGGCTCGCAATCAAGCATTGCGTTTTGGTAGTGCATCGGTGACGGCGACGTCTGGTAGCTGTAAGATCATTCCACGTGACGCTGAGTGGCCGAGCGAGGATGCCTGGGCGTCTTTCAACAATACGCTCGGTGGTGCGTTGTTGAAGCCCAAGCCGCTTGCCAGTGTCTGTTATGCTGGCGAGAGCTACAGTGCTGCAAAATGCGACCAGTTGAAGGGGAGTTGGGCAGGCATGAATCTACAGTGAGTTTACATGGACAAGAAATAGACTTTCATCTTTATCGTACTGATTATGACAGCTCCGATGACCCAGCAAGTATCATATCTCAATGGGCATCTGGCAATACATGCACGCCAACCTCACAGCCAGACTCAAACTGTACCCAAGGCGGTTGGCCAGAGTATGTTGTCAAAGCCACTACAGTAAGACACATTCAACTCGCAGTCAACTTCGCTAGGAATCAGAACATTCGGCTCGTCATCAAGAATTCGGGTCATGATTTCAACGGGAAGTCCATCGGTGGTTATTCTCTTAGTGTATGGACGCACAACCTCAAAGGCATAGCGTACGACCCTAGTTACACATCGCCCACTGGTTCATATACGGGAAGAGCGGTTACATACGCCGCTGGTGTGCAGGCTTATGAAGGTTCTACATTGATGCGACAGAAGAACATGGTCATGATCGTTGCAGGAGGAGGGACCGTAGGTATCGCAGGTGGTTTCCTCCAAGGTGGCGGACATAGCTCCTATACTAGTTATTATGGACTGGCCGCAGATCAGGTGCTTGCCATCACGGCTGTTACAGCCGATGGTAAGGTGGTAGAAGCACATGAGGGAGAGAACGCCGATTTGTTCTGGGCTTTCCGCGGAGGTGGTGGAGGTACATGTTCCCGACATGGGGAAAAGTTACAGCCACTAACGAATAACTAGGAACATTCGGGATCATCACGTCTGTCGTCGTTAAAGCGTTCCCAGTCACGCCTCTAGCATCGAGCAGTATCCGTTTCTCGACCACACCCGACCGCGGATCGACTGCGCCTCCGATCTCCACGGAAACCTTCTGGGCTGGCATGCGAGCGTACTGGGAATTCTCAGTCGCCATCTGTGATGCAGGCGGCTTGGGTTACAGCTTCATTTACCCTAGCAGTAGTACTACGGGGCTTACTTTCACCGTCAGTATATCTGTACCAAACCAAACTACAACAGAACATCGACGTTTCGTGCGCCCGCTACTTCAGAAGCTAAATGATCTGGGTATTCAACAGGCTATGCCCACAGTAGAACGGTCTCTCACATCTTCACCGTCGTATCAAGAAGGATACAAACACGAACCACCACATCTCTTCAAAAGGGTACTGGGCGAAATAACAGGCCACACAATGATAGCATCCCGGTTCTTTCCTCGTACCGCCTTCTCCAATACCTCTACTCTAGATTCATCACACCTCGCCATCCGTCACGTTGTCGAAAACGGCTCCCTAACCTTCCATGGCATGAACTACGCACCTACCATCTCGGTTTCTGGAAACCCCAACAACGCCGTGAACCCTGCTTTTCGCACCACAGTTCTACATGCCCAAGCCTATGAGCCAAACGCACACTGGGATGGCCAAGCTCCCATTCTCTCGCATGAGGCGATGACGGAAAGGCATGAGAGGCTACAGGCCTATATGCAGGTTTGGCGGGGTGTCACGGTAGGGAGTGGAAGCTATATCAATGAGGGGGACGCGCAGGATTGGGAGTGGAAGGAAGCGTTCTTTGGAAGTAACTACGATAAATTGGCTATAGTCAAGAAGAAGTATGATCCCGAAGGGTTGTTTTGGGCGATTGGGGGTGTTGGCAGTGATGAGTGGGAGATCAGAGACGTGGATGGTAAGAAGAGAGAGTGGATCGTCACGCAGGATGGCAGACTATGCAAGGTAGGTCTGTAACTCGGATCCTTGAGATTACAAGGAAGAGATATGAGAGTTGAGCTGTAATCAGGGAAATATAAGGGTTATCTGGCAGTTTATGAATGACTAGATTTGAATCAGGCAATGCGAGAATTTCGTCATTCCCATTTTACCTAAATGGGTCCTGCTGGTCATGGGTATCGATGGCATGATCTTTTATTGTCCGGAACAGGTGCGGGCCTGTTGTCGGCGTGGAAGATGATGACCTCTGGACTCCCATCCAGACGCCTTCTTTTGCAAGTGACGACCACTTCATTCGCAAGGTCTTCTCGTGTCGTTACCTCCACGTCGTGGAATATGCTATGTTCCGGCAGCGAAGACCAGCCAGAAGCATCTCCCATGACAGGCACATCGTTCAGAGAGAAGTCTTTATCAGCGTTTGTGGCATAATAATCATCCTTCTCTTCAAGCTTCATAACCGTTTCGGCAATATTAGCTGCAGTGAAAGAATCCCATGTCGCCTCTTTCAGTGGAATTACACGCAGCAGCCGTATAGCGTGAAAACGGATACGATGGTGTCGACACTTGATAGCCGTGAAGTACAACGGCGCTATAAAGCCAAACTCGCCAATGGAATCGTGGAGATTGACGTTATCCGGGATGGATCGAGCTAGAGAGTATTCTTCAAAGATGTGTATAGCATGCATAACTATCATGAGAAACATATCGGTATACGCTTCATACTGCTGTTCGGAGTAAGAACGCAGACAACCGCACATGACGCTCGCCATAGCGTGATGCATAAGTAATGATTTGAATACTGATGGCTCGCGATCTGTTGGGAGCTTGGTTGGCGGTGTCTTTGCGCCAAATGATAGCGGGTCGTTGGGTTTCTTTCCGGCAGCTAGGAGTATCTTGTCGATCCTACAAATCGTACGCTTGTAGATTTCGTACCAAGTCGCAAGATGGCTTGTGATTTCATCTTGTGCCGATGTCACTGCAACAACGTCATCTTCAGTTCCAGCTCCTGATTTTCGATATCGTTGTTTGATCAAAGCTATGCGATGCAACAGCACTTCTAGAGTGTCCTTCGCTTCTTCAACACTCGTGAAAGCAGGATACGGCATATCGTTTCCAATCGGTTGCAGAAATAGATCGACGTCCTCTAAACTGGAACCGAACAGACTGCTCTGCATGTGCAGAGTCGCAAAGCTGCGTACGATACTTCGATCTACGACTTTCCCGTGTGAAGCCGGTCTGATTACCAACACACCATGATGAGAGTGGTCTTTCTCAGTAGCTGTGTTTTTCAGAAGCTTCAAGCCATTTCGTAAGTGTGTTTCAGCAATCTGGTACCTTCCGCGGAGGTACTCCAGTTGAGTGAACAACTGACAGGTGACCAAAATAATTGTGATGGAGTCTTTGTCTCCACGTTGCAACAGTGGCTGTAGTGATCGGATGGCTTTGGTATACTGCTGGAGCACAAACTTCTCCCGCGTATCTGGAGCTTGTGACGGGTTGTAACTGCATCTGTGCGCAGCACTCAACGCCACAGCAGCATGAAGAACAGCAGGTTCTGACGAAGCTGCCGGCAGCACAATCGAGTTCCAAAACTTCGAGGCGAACCAACCCGACGTTGTATGGACGATCCTAATCCTGTATAGTTGTAGGTGTCTGAGTTCTTCGACGGGTAGAACTCTAGTAGGAGGCTTCTGAACTGAGACCAGCGAGATATCGTTTGTAGATGCTCCGCCATATCTCTCAACGTAGGTATTCCCCCCGCCTCCCCACAAGCCGTAACCCTCGCACGTTCGACCAGTAGATCGGCAACGAGAGCACACAGGCTTTGCTTCATCACACTTAACTCTTCGGGCTCTAGTCAACGTCGGTAAGCGTTCATAGGCACAGATCCACGGACAGCCCAGACCGTTGAACAACAGACCGCCAATCGGACGATCCTGATACCCTTGAACAAAACAAACCACTCACTTGCAGGTTCCACACCCTGTCTTCGACTTTCTCCGCACAGTAGTGCTCTGATGTTGGCATATAGCTTTTGCAGAAGTAAGTTGATCTGACACGACAGATTCTGAGTGCATAGCGAGAGTAGTTCCTAGCTAGGGCAAGAACATGAAGGCGCTGGCTCAGATTGTCTCGCAGCAAAGATACTCGGCGGCTCCAGATGCGTCTCTTCGAGAAAAAAACAGACGGCGAAGACGTTGCGAGTCCTAAGACAAGACGATGACCCCTAAGCTCGCTAAGCTCAGGGAAGGCACAGATGGCTCCTGCATAAAGCGTGCCCCCTCATTCGTCTGCTCGGTACAACCAAGTTTTAATTGGTAGGTACTACAGAAAGCGGAGACGGGGCGGGACGCCTAGCTCTAGGAAAAGCAAGCTCTTTCTCTAGTTTCAAGTGCTTTAGCATGCCGAGTTCGACATTTGGTGGGGTATTTGAATAGATAATGGAAGTAATGGAACATTGTTCCAGAACAGGATATCGTGTTCGTTCGTCTATGGACTAGTCTATCATAAGCATCGCATTACCATGATCTCATCACAGAAAAAAAGAAAAGTTGAACAAGAAACTTTCCCTCGCGCCAAACGTAGCCCTGTATACCACGCCGACCAAATGCTTTTCACTTGCCGTTACGCCTACGCAGATGCCTCGCTTAAGAAGCTTCCTCAACGCCGTCAGGCTTTTGCGCCTCAGCGTCTGTCATCTCCGCGTCCTTTGGCTCTTCCGCCGGCGGCGCCTCCGCCTGCTTCTTGGCCTCGGCCTCCCGCTTTGCGCGCTCGAGCTCGGCTTGCTTAGCTGCGTGCTCCTTCTGTTGCTTCTCCATGACCGCTTGTCGCTCGCTCTCGATCTTGTCGTTGTAGCGCTGGATGATGGGTCCTGCGATGGAGCGGATATCCTCCTTCTTGGAAACGTACTGTGCCTTGGACGCGTCGTCGCCCTCATCGTACAACCACTCCTGTATGAATGTTAGCGCCATTCGAGAACCATGTATTGAACTGTACTTACCTCAATGGTCTCGAGCTTGGTGTTGAGCCTTGCCTTCTCGTCGTCGCTGGCGAACTCGGCGTAGACGTCGAGGATCTTGTCCTTGAGCTCGTAGATGAAGCTCTCAAGGTTGTTCTTCTCGTTCTCGGTGTCGGCAACGAGCTTGTCCTCCATGATCATAGAGTTCTCCTTCTCGGCCAAAGTCTGCTTGCTCTCCTCGTCAAGCGAAGCAGTGCCTGCTGATAGTGGCAGGTCACCCTTGCGCTGCTGCTTCTTGACCTTGCGCATCTTCGGTGGCTCCTTTGCAGCGTCCTTGTCAACGTCCATTGCCTGCGCATTATCTGTTAGCTCATCTGTTATGTGGGCAAAAGCAGGACGCCCAAGTACAGGATCAGCGCTAGGCTTTCGTCGTTTCGCGGCAGGCTCAGGCGGACTTCGCCGGCCGTTACTAAGATCATTAGGAAATTCGGAAGAACGTACATCACCCTCTTTCTTCTCTGCTGACGGAGACTCGGGAATTGGCTCCTCGACCTCGGTTTCCTCGACATAGTATCCAGACTCGACGTTGAGTACACCGTGCACATTGAGGCGTGCCTTGAGCTTGCAAATCATGAAGTCGCCCTTGGGGTCCTCCTTGACACCCTTGACGGAGAATCGGCCAATCCATGGGTTCATCTTGCCTGGCAGTTGCTCGGGCTTGGCGTACCTGGCCTCAAGGTCGAATGGGTGTTTCCGGTAGAAGGTGAGGATCTTGGTCGATGGCATGACATTACCCTTGTTGAAGACGGTCAGGTTGGTGTCTTCATCAGGAATGTCCTCTGACTTCTCCCAGGTGAACTCGACAGGGTAGTTGACCATGTCGTGGACGGAGAAGTCACGGACACGGAATACTGGTGAGAGGATGGCGCAGCAGAAAGCGCATCCACGAGCGACAGCCTCGTCCTGGTTGAGTGTGAAGGAGAGGGGCTTGCCGAAGTATTCTTGGATCTTGGACTTGAGGACAGGCACGCGTGTGCAGCCGCCAACCATCTCGATGGCGTCGATGTCGGCGGTGGTGAGCTTGGCCTCAGCGAGAGCCTGCTCGATAGGGGCGGTAGCGCGGTCAATGAGGGGCTTGATCAGCTCCTCGAGCTCCTCGCGCTTGAGCATACCGCGTACATCGACGTCGTTCATGATGGACTCGACGTTGATGGGCGCTTGGTTGTTTGCGGAAAGGACCTTCTTGAGCTTCTCGACGCCAGCTGCCAAACGAAGGCGAGCCTTGCCGTTCTCCATGACGTCGATCTTGTACTTCTCCTTGAACTCCTTGGCGAAGTGCTCGACAAGGGCCTGGTCGATGTAGCGTCCACCGTAGTGGCGGTCCCAGGCGCTCGACTTGACAGCCAGCTCACCCTTCTTGAACTCGACGACGGTAGCGGTGTAGTTGCTGTGGCCGATGTTGACGAAGACAACTCTCCGTGGCTTCTCCTCGGGCCCTGGGAGGTCGAGCTTTGTGATTCCCCAGCCGAGAGCGACTGCGGTGTTGTCGTTGATGAGGCGGAGGCACTTGAGGCCAGCAATGTCGGAAGCGTCGAGGATGGCGCGGCGCTGGGCGTCGGTGTACCAGACGGGGCAGCTGAGGACGACGTCGTTGACGGGGAGTTTTAGTTCGGCAGATGCTGTGGCGCGCATCTTGGTGAGGAACATGGCTGTGATTTGAGTAGCAGTGAACTGCTCCTTCTTTCCCAGGTATTGTACTTCAGCGCCGACCTGGCCGCCCATGTCGATGAGCGGCGCGGATATGAAGTTTTGCTCGACCTGGACATCGGGATCTGAGAGGTTGCGGCCGGCGAGGCGGACGAAGGAGGAGACGGTGTTCTTGAGGTTGGAGATTTCCTGGTTCTTGGCCGTCTCGCCAACGTATCTGCTCTTGGGGCCGAAGCCTACTAGCGATCTGCAAAATTGTAAGTCGACTGTCGTTTTGTGTGGGTGGGTGTGCGAGTGTGCGCTGGGGGTATACTTACGGTGTCGCGCGGTTGGAAACTTCATTTGCAATCTACGCACAGTCAGTATCTTGGTAGACGATAACATGCGATTAGGCTACTAGTACGTACCACATCGACACCTCGATTCCGCGCAACAGCAATGACGCTGTTGAGCGTTCCCAAATCAACACCTACTACAGACATGTTTATCTCTGATGGTGGGGTATATGTGCGTGAGTATGGGGTAGTGTAGGGAGTGTGTGCGGTGAAAGTGGTTTTTTTGCAAGGTCGTGTAAAAGATAGGCAGGCACGGGTCGCAAATTTCAATAAGCCGCTGCTCTGATGACTTGCTGGCAATACGTCGAAGAAAAGAGAACCTTCTCGACAAGCCCTGTTTTAGCGGGGTCACTAAAGAAAGTGTTGCGGAAGGCACGGACCACGAAGCAAATCAACCAGCAACACGCTGCGTCATGGCCCCATACACGTCGCAGCCACCCCCCGACGCGTCTAGAGGGCGCCATCCCATTCGAGCGCCCATGCAAGCATACACGACCGCCTTGGAGAACTCGCACGCGTCAAACTCGTCGACCATGAGATAGCTGACATCATCATGGCCCAAATTCCCCCGTACCCACTCTACAACAGGACGTACAACCTGTACCGCCTATCCCCGCTCCACTGCCACGACACGCCCCTCCTACTAGAAGCCTCACTCCGAACCCATGCCAAGCGCCTAAAAGAACAGCTCAAAGGCGACAATGTGCGAGGCGTCCAGGTCGACTTTGCTGGCGCTGAGGATACCGCAAAGCTGGGGCCGCTGGACGAGTGCAGCTGGGACATGATCGGAGACGAAGATGCCTGGATTGACCGACATCGCCAGTCGATAGATGTCGATGCCTCGCACTTGTCATCCCTCTCCCAGCTCTCTCCAGACCGCGCGCGAGGACTGCAAGTGAGCCTCGAGTACGAGAAGCAGACATACAATGCGCTCCTGCTGCGCGATCCAGGCGTCACCTCCTCGCCAAAGGGCTTCACGTCGCTACCACTGTTGCTTGTGAAAATGCCGGGTCCAATACGTGACATCTTTCTGAACTATCTCCGAACGACCTTCGATGCCTACGTTGCGCCCTTGAAGCTGCCCTCCCCCATCATCACTTCGAGTCTCGAGACATACTTGAAGCACCTCTCAGCGCGCTACTCGACCCAATTCATCCAAGACATTATAAGACAG